ATTGTGGGCATAAGCATTTCCGACAAGATTATAGATGGTCCCACTTCTGTGGGAATGATACGCATATCTAAAGGCTGGGAGGAGTAGAAAGTAGGCCTATACAGGAGAGCCCCGAATAGACCGTATTTAGATGTGATTTGACCAGACTAGCCAGAACACCTTCCTGCTCGTCTAACTTTTGATTTTATTACTTTGGACTTAGAATAATTTGAGCAATCATTTCTTTGGACTTGGAAAATATTTGAGTCAAACCGACTATTTTCTAACACTTAGAATAATTCACTGAGTCGGATATTTTGATACAGCATGAGAATTTCTCAGTTAAAAATTCAATGTGTTTAATTTGGTGTATTTAAAATAAACTATACAAAATTCAAACGGTCTACAATATCATTTCAACAATTAGTACACTTCATCATCTTTCTTGCAATGATACCTGTAGTCAAAAGATCACTACAGCATTGATTTTTCAATGCAATGTCATATGGTTATTAATTGCATCTGTAAAGTGAGACGTTTGTAGCTATATAAATCTCCAAAGAACTGCAAATAAATTATCTTTGTTTTACAGTTCTGATAAAAAGTATTTTTGTGTTCTAAAAAAGTAACAGGGACTCTGGAATGGTTGATTCTGAAATAATTAAAACATATTTTTGTAGAAAATTAAAATCAGTACTGTTATGAATATTAACATAATTTTTAAATGTTTTTGTATACTCAGGTATTCTCATTTGGAAGGTTACAATTACTATTTTTTGCTATTCATAATTAATAAATCAGTTCAAATGTATTAATAAAAAATCCATATATTATTTATATTTTTACAGGAGGTGGAAATATTTTAGATGTGTGCAAAAACATGCGTAATTTGTTTGACTATTTCATAAGAAATCTTAGCAATATCACAGGAATGAAAAAGTGTCCAATGTTTTGGCGACTTTATCTACATTACATATCTGAAACTTCACCATCAGATTATAAAAAATGTTACTACGAGGCCGTTGAAAACTGTCCATGGCATAAAGTATATAAAATTGTTAATCTTATTGAAAGTATATTTTGTTTACAAGACATATGTTTTTACAGTTTTTATACATGGAGGCTGCGTTTTACCTTCTAGAAGAGCTACCAAATATCTGTGATATATTGGTTGAAAAAGAGTTAAGAATACATATTACACAAGAAGAGTTATTAGTTTTGAGAGAAGACTAAATTAAATATAATACTTAGTGACACAAAAAAATGTATTAAAAAATATTATTAAATTATGTACCTATTCATTAGTGCATTTAATCAACAAAATCTTGTCAATTAACGATGCAGTCTCCTAATATATTCATAATATATTTTTGAAATTTATGTTAACATATTATAATCGTTCAAAATGGCTTGTGTAATGTATGAAATATGACTTAGTCATGATAAGACTGAACATTTTATGTAATATATATTTATTTTCAAAAACATTAAATTGCATATTTAAGTATACTAGTCATTTTGTACAATAACATTGTGTTTTAATTACCTGTGCAATCTATGAAAAATTTGGTATTTAAAGTATCGAACCCATAGTTTAATGATCAGAATAATAATTATTCACCATTAGTAGCAAATTAAATTTAGTTAGTACTATGGGAAGTCAAAAGTAAAAACTTAATTGTACTTTTAAAACATTTTGGAAAAACAGGAATTTCCTATGTACTAGGCACTAATGTATAATTTTCTATGAACTTGTCATCATTTCATAAAGGTCAACATTTACGATAACATATATAATAAAGATTAAACATAATACAATTGGGGCATGTACCAGTTGCCCCCCAAAAGTACCTATTTTTACACCAATTCCCCTCTTGTTGTCCACAGTTGGACCAGTTGTCCTCACATGTTAATATATAGCCCATGAAATTGGGAAGGTAAATATACAACCAATAAATAAAATACAAAATTATTTATTATAACTATAATGATAGGTAAGTGGGCATGCAATGTAATAACTTGTCAAAAAGGTAATAACATACAAGTTAATAATTACTAATAGTTTTTACAAAATCTAATCTAGTTTCAAAACTTGTTATTGGATAAGAGAATTTAGTTCTGATATATTAGATAGTTGTTCAATTCTTTGGTATCCAAACAAAATAAAGCACTAAGTTTTTCCCTTTTTTTTTGAAATTTCATAGTAGTTTGAAAATAAAATACAATAAAATATATAACTACGCATTGTAATAAAAAAGCGTTATATAGTTTTTGTTAAATATGTATGTATTGTACTCTTCTCAACCAATAAATGGTAAAAAAATGAATTAAACATGTAAAATTGTGTACGTTCGTTTATAAATAAAGTGAGTGCAAAATATGTAATACTCTGATAAAAGGTGTAATTGAAATCGGCTAATTGGTTGGTGTGACAAAGATAAATTTCAGCCTTGTCCAATTTAAAATTAGATTAGGTACCTGATGTTATATACCAGAGATGCCAAACCTTTTGAACGCAAAATTAGTAATGACCTTTTTAATTTTTTTAGAGCGTGCCATGAAAAAAATATTAAAAATTAATATTTTGTTATACTATAATTTGATTGTATAATTAATGTATTAGTATAAAAAGGTTAGTTTAGGTTATTATAATTTATAGGTCCTATAATATTATATACCTATTATATAATATATAAAAGTAAAAAATTTCGCGTGGCCACAAAATCTTTTCGCGTGCCGTGGATTTGCCATCCCTGTTATATCTTATATAGTTCTAAATAAAAATGATTTATATTACGTACCTAGTTTATGTCTCAATGAAGTCAATTTTTTTAGTTATAATATGAGAAATCGGTAAAAATTGTCTTAAACAATTAATTAAAAACATCAAAAATGCCCCAAATAAATGTTGTGGTTACAACATGGAGCTCTCGAAACACACCTTTAGGTTGGAAGGCATTGTGTAAGCATAGATAATAAAAGAATGGATAGGCCATTAGGCCCTATCGCACGGGCATGAAGTTATTTTACTTTGACACATACAAAAAAAAATCCTTTGAAATCTGTTTCATTGAATATATATGTATCATAAAAAAATTATTTTTATAAATAGACAATATTCTTATGCAATGATAAGATTTTAAACTACTGCTACGATATTCCCAATCCTTCCAACTCTCAACTCGCAATGTTCGCCGATGATACGACAATCCTTACACAAGACAGCTCTATAGACTTATCGATACAAAAACTTCAATCTTCATTGAATGAAATCACTTCCTGGTTCCAAAAATGGAAGCTGAACCTCAACCCGACTAAGAGCGCGGCTAAAATATTCACCCTAAAAAGGTACGTAGATCCTAAAAGCATTTACATTAAAAACCATGCATTACAGTGGAACAGAAAAGACGACTCGATTAAATATCTTGGTGTTTTCCTCGACGAAAAACTTTCATGGAACATCCACATAAATAAGAAACTCACACAGGGCTATGCCAGAATGAGAATGCTCTACCCCTTAGTAAATTTTAAATCTACACTCCAGATAAAATCGTCACTCCTTCTGTATACATCGATAATAAGGCCTTTGATATCCTACGCCTGTCCTGTTTAGGCAGCCGCGTCACCCACAAAAATAAAAAAGTTACAAATTGTACAGAACAAATTTTTGAGGATTGCCTCAAAGCTCCGTGGTTCATGAGAAACAGCCAAATCCACAACGATACGGGTATACCCTTCATTAACAAATGGATAATGACTCAATTCCAAGACTTTCACGCTAATTAAAAAAATTCGGACGGAGCCCGTCACTACAATCTAAGACAAAAAACACAAAACAGACGTCTGCGACCTCGACTCCCCCAGGACATTCTACAAACGGATAGCGAAGACTCATCATCAGAAGAATAAAACATTAAGAACACACTTACACTATATATTATACCTATAATTTTACTTAACTGCATCAATGTAAAAAATCATGTACTCTGTATAACCCAACCCATTGTTAATAATAATACTTGTTAAAAAACAATACTTGTAATAGCACCCAGTGTGCTGAAACATTTTAAAATTAAATAAATTAAAAAAAAAAAAAAAGATTTTAAATAATTTTTTTAATTTTGTATTAAAAATTTGCTTTGATTATTTAAATACACTAACCCGTAGTAGGTATAGGGATTATTTTATTTATGTTTTTTGCGTTTTCTGTAAAATATATGCATTATTTAGAACCATGACCCTGTATAAATTGTATGTTTATAAGGCTCGTAAAATAATGCATCCATGTATGACGTTAATATGTGTATATTTCATTAATATTTTTTTCCCTGTCCATAATTGGTAAACCTATACAAAATACAAATACCATGAATGCAATCATGTAAAATATCTAAGCTGCCCTTATGATAATTAAGTCAAAATATTTCTTGATGCAGTTCTTATATTGTAATAGATGTTATGTGCACATTGCACATAACTTACATGAGACTTAAATGTTTTTTTAAATATAATTTATAATTAATTACTAATATATTTTGTTTGGTATTACATGTTTTCATTTTCATTTCAACTTTGTTATTCAACGAATAAAAAGATGAAATTAGGTGTAAATACTCAGCATGGATGTAAGCATCAGACATATTGTTTAGTTCCCGACATCCAGAGACTAGACTACTATAAACTATGAAGTATTAAGTACTTGAGTAATGAAACGCTTTGCACAGGGTACAAAACTACAAACTATAAGATGTTAATCTCTAACCAATGTTGATGGTGATAAAAGATTGACTATATAATGGTAAAAATGTTAATGAAATAAACATATATGCACATGTATGAATGCGTAATTTTACGAGTCATAAAAATGCATCTTGGTCATAGTTCGAACAAATGCATATATTTAACAAAAAACGCAAAAAACATGAATGATCCTTATACCACGCGCGTTAAAGTAACAACTCTAGCGTACGCAGCGCAGCCCGTGGCTGTTTAATCATGCGACTCATTTTGGAACGATTTTTCATGCTGGCGCGGGTTGCCGTACAAGTTTCGTCTCCTTATCCTAAGGCCTTCATGCCCAAAACATTATTACGTATTTCTTAATAATGCATTCCATAGATATAGAAATAATTAAGAATATTCAAATTAACAATAACTGTAAATTAATTTTATATTATCACTTTCACAGGTATTAATTTCCGATTTTTATTACTTAAATTTTGTTGACGTCTTAACACAATTTCATTTTATTGTTATCACTTAATAATTTAATATACATATTTCGTTAACTAATAATTTCAGTTATTTTGAAATTTTGAATTCATGGATTTAAAATTAAAAACTATATCTAACTTATTACTATTTTTTGTAACTATTCATTAAGTAAGAGTTTGTTACCCATTTGTGGGTTTCTCAACTAATAATTTGTAGTTAGGTAAATTATGGTTATGCATCAGATTCTTATTTTATATAGGTTTTAAGTAAACATCCTTCAATTAAACCATCTCGATAATCATGGACCATTTAATGCCACCTTCTTTTCAAAATCATTTAAAGAATTTTATTATAGCAGCCAAACAATATTCATATTGTAAAGATGAATCATCTTTTAATGGAGTTCTTTGTTCATTACAGGTATGTAATAAAAATTAAATCTGTCTATATCGTTACATGATCAAAATTAAGTCTTGTCTATGTAACTAGTTGGTTTGCAAATAATTGCTAAAACTTGATTAGCAGTAATTTTAACGCATGATGATTTTCATAAAAAAATATATCCTTAATTTGTATTGGAATCGCCTTATATTAGTAATTTATTATTGATTTGCTTAACTCTTACTAGGGATACATATAATTTTACTTACTTATATACGCCAAAATATTTTCGGTAAAAATTCCTAAACATTAAATATAAATCTTATTAATTAAATGATCTACTGTTACCACTTATATTCAATTAATTAAATTTAATTTGAATTTATAGATTTAAATTTTAAAATTAATAACTACATTTTTAGTTTCAAACAGTGTATCATACACTACATTCTGTTATTTATAAAAAATGAGTAACAATAACCAATTTATACCTTATATTTACATAATAATAATATTCACATTAATTGTAATTTTTATTTTTATTTCTGATTAGGTATTTAGTATACATGTTTAGATATAGGTATATGATTATTGTTTAAGCTAAATATAAATTATAAATTATTGTTCATGTATCATTTATTTTCAGATCCTCGGACAGCATGAATTTGTTTTTAACTCTAAAGACACATTCAGACATGAGTTTTGTATTAACTTATATGAACTAATGAACAGTATTAATGATGATTCAGATATTATGTGGGCTGCTGTTAATTTATTGCAGTCTATTGTAAAACAAGGATTATTTCAAAACACAATACTAAACAATAATGAATTTACACTAATTCTAACAAAACTACTAAAAGATGAACTATCATTTGATAAAAAAATTAAAATACTCAAACTACTCCAGGTAAATTGAAGTCTAGTTATTAAACTTGATTTTAACTTATTGGCAGGGCTCGGATATTCTTTGCATTTAATTTTTTGTAATTTTTGAATGTTTCAATTTAGACACACATTGGTTGTTTCACACTTCCCAGATGTCTTAAACGATTTTTTATTTTGCTTACTTAGAATTTTATGTGTTATTTTTAGATATATTCTTATACATGAATGGATCAAATTGAGTACAATTGAATTTTTTTTTCATTCGCCTTCAAGAATGTTTGAAATAATTGGAATTTATATAACTGAGATGTTAGTATTGAAGCAATATCCAATAGGTATTTCTTACTTCTATCAAAAAACTAAAAGTAAACATAAATTTAGAATAAAATAAAATGTTCTTATTTCTAAAAATTGACTTTTAGTATTATAACTTCTGAGCCCTGTTTAGTTATAAGTTTATACTTGGAGTTAAAATATAAATATTATGAATTTCAGGAATTGACTTATAGGACAAAAATACAATGGCAGGAAGGCCATTCATCTGAACTAATAAATCTATTGGTAAAATGGATTTCAACCGAAGACAAAGATCTTATATCATTAAGTCTAGGCGTTCTAGTGAATGTGTGTTGTAAAAACAAATTTGCCATGTTTACTCTTGTGAAATGTACACATTCTAAATCCTTCATGCGTCTACTTTTAAAATTACAATCTGATGATATATTCATCAAAGTCCAAGTATATAAATTATTATTAGTCTTAGAACAAGTATCTGGTCAGATACCAGATGTCGATGTTAACAATTTAATTGATGTAACATTTGCTGTTTTGGAAGAAGGCCTTAAACTAAAAAATGTGTTTGTTCTACGTCATGCTGTAGACTTTTTTATTGATATAAGTGAACATTCACGTTGGAAAAATTCTGTTTTAGAATATGACGGGTATATTTATTTTATATTATACATTTTGACATATAAACTATTTTCTAACTTAAATTTATTGATATTTTAGCTATAAAACAAATTTAATTAAAATATTGGAGTCTACGAACAATTTCAAACATATTGAGAAGTCTCAAGGCAATTATCACTTAACAGTACAAAGTGTAGACTTAGTTTTACAATTTGTGCATCATGTTATTCAATTCAAAAATGAAGATTTAATCATATTATATCCTAAAATCATAATTTACATTTTGCATTGGACTCAAGTTCCAAATCTTTATGAACAAGCCATGTCAATTTTACAAACAATAATTATTAATATACGAAGTTATAATAGTTACATAGATCAAACCCTTAAGTGTGATATTTATGAAAATCTGGAAAAGTGTTTAAATGTAAGTTGAAATCTGTAATAAAATTGTAATTTTAACAATAAATAAATATTAAAAATAAATAATTAATTTCACTATATTAACATCTAATTAATGTTGCAGAACAAAAAGTTGTGAATCAAATGTTATTTAACTCTTCTTTGCAATTATTATTAATATTGTTATATATTAATTATTAATTATGATTTATGACCTATTGTACATTTTAAAAAAAACCTGATTTAAATAACAGATTAACTACTTAATTACATCGGCAAAAATTTATATTTGTTCTTCAATATTAAATATTAAAACAAATAAATATTACTGATGATTTTTTTTGTATTAATATTTTTAACACATCACTCATCTCTATAAGACTAGTATCTACTTAAGTTATCTATTTAAATTGTGTCACTAACTGTAAATGTACACTAATTATATTTTTTAGGAATTTCTAATTGTTTTATTTGAACCAAATACAAATGTAGAAAATGATTCAGTTATCTGTACATGGAATAAATATGGAATATGCTTGAGACTTCTTCAAGAAATGTTAAAGATGCAAAATTTATATGCAATAATTGAAGAAAAACTTCATGTTTCGGTAAGAAATATTTTTATAATATTTTATTTAACAATATAATTTTAACTTTTATTTTTCAGTCTCTTCAGTCTTTATTCCATTCCTTGATATCGGTCGATATTAAAAACTTAAATAATTTACAAAATATCACATTTGTGTACATTGAAGCACTGTGTTTTCTATCTGAATTAGTGGCTAAAAATCCCACTTGGATGTCTTTATACTCTGAAATATTGAATCAGAAACATGTTTATCGTGTACTAGCATTTATAATATATAAAGGTTCAAAAAACATGAAACAAAAAGTATTAGATCTCATAACTAAATTTTCACAACAAAGGTAAAAAATAATTTATGTTTAAATATAATATTTATTTTAGCTATATTTGTAATTATATTTATATTTAGTACTTTAATGTTATCCGATTGTTTGGAAGAAATTGAACAATTATCTTCAGCTAAAGTAAAAAATATGTCTACAAATTCAGAGGAAAATGAAATAAAGCCATTATGTTCATTTGCTCAAGAAGAACAATTAAAAGTGTTCATTGATAAATTAGAAAATTTATTCAATTCTAATGAAGTAAACAATTGAAAAAATATCATATTTTTATATTAACATTATTTGTATGGTTCTATTTTTTTCAGTATTAACTTATCAAATTAAATATATTTTCTTTTAGATAATAAATGTTAAAACGAGTAATGTTATTACATTATATCAATACAAAATGAATACATTAAAACAAACTGAAGTGTGGCTAAAACAAAGTCTTGATAATGCTTCTGAAGAAATAACTCGGTTAAATTATAAATTAGTTTGTTTGAATAGTGAATCAATGCAACTAAATCAATTGTTATTAAACGGTCATCAAGAGATTGAAGAGTTAACAGTAGAAAATGAAGATTTAAAAAAAAAATTAAATGATATTACTGAACAATTTAGTACAACCAGTAATAACTTTGCAAAAGTAATTACTTAATATTATGTAAATTAAAATAGTAAATAATTATATTCAATTAATACGAATATGTTATATTACCTTAGTTATCACGAAATTATGAATCAAAACGTCAAATTATCGAAGAACAGAATTCTTCAATAAAGAACCTTGAAAAACAATTAGAAGAGCTACGTTTACAAAGCGATAAAATGAAAGCTAATTTACTGGACCAATTAAAAAATGAAAAAACTGGTAAAATTAAATAAAATATTTATGTTATAAATAAATGTGAATCCATACAAATTTAAATTTGCTTGTGTTTAAAATATTTAAATGTTTTCAATTTCTATTATTCTAGAAAATAAAATTCAAGTTACAAAATTGGAACAACAATTAACAGAAAAACAAAGTATTATCAATGAAAAATCTGAGGTAAGTTTCTTAATAAACTATTTTGTCTACTATTTAGGCATTAAAATATTAAAATAAAACCTTTATTTTAGCTTATCTGTCTAATATTATTATTGATTGAAAATGTTCTATATTTTAATATTTTTTGTAGGAAATCAATAACAAATTATCATTTATTAGAAATCTAGAAAATATTGGTTTAGAAAAGGATAAAGATATTATTGACTTACGTAAACAACTACAAGAACAACAAAGAGTCCGTGAAATGATAAGTCAAATGTTAGCTGCTACATCCAGTAAACCTTAACTATCAGGTGCCTAATCTTAACTGATTTCAATTTTTGGTCCTAAGTAAAATCTAAAATCTGAATTTTTGAGCAAATGTTTTATATTTATTAGAAGTTAATTAACTTCACTAAGTTAACAAAACAATGTGTTTTTAAACTATAGTTTTTACTTATTCTATAAGTACAATTTTCTTATGACTAATATTTTATCTAAAATTCACAAATAATTATAATTCAATTATTTAAAGAAATTAATTTATCTAAAGATAACATTTATAAAATTATTGAGTATTACAAAAGTATATTGTGTTAAATTAAAAAAAATTTTAATTTTTGAAATATTGAAAGGGATGTTTCATGTAGTTGTAATTTCATGTTTTTTTTAAAAAATAAATGCTGTTAACATTTATTAATAATTCTGGCACTATTAATAATGTATATTATCAACCACTAATCAAAACCCATATTAGACATGTAGATATAATATCATGTTCATCGTCATCTATTCAAACTAATACAAAATGTACATCAGAAACAATCCAGTCTTGTTAATATTGCATTATTTTATAAACAATTTATAGTATAGAAAATATTAATAAACTGGACAAATGTCTTGTTGAAATAAAATGTGATTACATTTTTCTTTATGGAATTGAAAAAACGGCTTTAAAATATATAAGTTAATTGCTATTATTCAAAAATAATTACCTGTATATATTTCATGTTTATTTCTATGTATAGATTATAAGCTACTGTAAAAGTCAATGTACCATATTGACTTATCGTAATATTGTATTATTAAGGTGATTTATAGTTATATTTATTATTGTTAAATTTTAATGTTTATTGCTTAGTTGTAACTACTTAGCGACTGTTGCTGTAATTGCATATTGATATCTTATAATTAAACATCTTTCATCTCTCTATTTAGTAACATAATACTGTGTCATTTTTTTTTTTATGACTTCGGTCGTCATATACACAGGACTTCTTGTAAAAGACCTGAAAAATGAATTAACTTCAATATTTTTAAATAATTTTTTCTACATCATTCATTGACTTGTGCGTTAGAGGTATAATATGCCATTTAAAAATTTTTATACTGAAAATAAAAAATTTAATATGATTCAAATTTTATTTGAAAATTTGAAAATAACCAATTCGTTAATTTGATTTTTATAAAAACTTTAGATAATAAAAACAATTCATCTAAGTCAAGTGGTTGTCAGCAGCTGTGCCCTGCGGTAACACACCCGATGATGTTTTTACCAGCGATTAAATAACAACAATAATAATGTCTAAATAATATATTACTACTACTATATATATTTTTTTTTTTGGGGGGGGGGTGGGATTATTTTTAAGAAAAATTGCCGGATAGTGTCCCACTGCTCCCCATACTTATATTTTACAGTGTATCCTAATTGGTTCCTGGGTTATTACAAAGGGTATGTCCAAATTGGTTCCCTGGAAAAAGTTAAAAAATTGTGGCTTTTGTTTTAAATGTAATTTTTATCTTTAATTAAATTAATTTTTCTTTTTTTACAAGTAAAAATAAGTTTATAAGTAATATATTTTTAAATAGGCATTATAAATAGTAATAATAATAAATAATAATATTCTATGGAGTAAAAATTTTTAACAATAATAATTTTATTAGTATTTATCAAAATAATTTTTAATCTTTCTATTTTATTTGTATTTATAATGTTGGGAAGTATGTTTTAATATTATTATTAGATCGTATTTCGCCATTTTTTAAAGTGTTATATATATTTTTTTTTTATTAGAGTTTCTTAGGATAAACTATTATTGGGGAAAGGAACCAATACGGATGCAGCGATGTTTTATATTCCTAAGCAAGTGGATACTGATCTGCTGTGCAGTAGGTACCTAGAAGAGACGGATGTGTTTAATAATTTGTAAAATTTGAATCTTAAGTGGATCTGTGGTGGTGATGACTGTCTTTGTCTAACACACGCGCAACATAAGAATTCAGAGGTGTTTTTTTGGCAAACGTACCGATTGATAAAGTGAAGCAATAAGAATTCTGAAAACAGGTTTGAATTTGTCGTCAAGTCTACTTGAGATCGGTCAGTCTACATTTTTGATTTTAGATTCTGAGTGAAACGATAAAAAAAAAAAAAAAACATTGATCGTTTCACTCAGAATCTAAAATCAAAAATGTAGACTGACCGATCTCAAGTAGACTTGACGACAAATTCAAACCTGTTTTCAGAATTTTTATCGCTTCACTTTATCAATGGGTACGTTTGCCGAAAAAACACCTCTGAATTCTTATGTTGCGCGTGTGTTAGACAAAGACAGTCGTCACCACCACCAATTCCCTTAAATATTTATAAAAAAAATATTGTACTTATGTATGTTCCCTAACCTGACTAATGTTAGTTTTTTAATCATATATCATACTTAAACTATTCCACAAAGATCTAGGTGTTTTTAGGTATAGCAACTTGCATTACAGGAAATTATGAAAATACAATAAATAGTAAAAACTAAAAAGCTGGTATCTTATAGGTTTATTAATATCATAATATTATCAAAAACACATATTTTATTTTTTCTAAATAAAAATAACGTATTTAAAACATAATAACAAACAAAATTAAAAAGACAAAAAAATTTATTTTTACTTGAATGAATAATAAACCACTAAGTATTTTAAACAATAATTACACAATATAGCAAATATTAAAAAGTTTACATACAAATTTAAAATAATTTATAAAATAATACAGTTAAGGTTTTTTTTCATAATTCTATACTTTATATTTATATAGTATAATAATGAACTAAAATAATTATTTTGGTTAAAATAAAATTGTATAAGACACATAATTATATTATATATATATGCTTGATTTGACTAAAATGTTTTATACAACAATGTAAAAAAAATGTTTACATAAATAATATTTAATTAAGTCTAAAATGTATCAAAAAAATTTAATTATATATTGTCCAATAAAAAAAATCAACAAACAACAGTTAGTTATAAAAAAAACCTCAAAAATGTACTAAATGAGTTATAAATCACAGCACAATATAACATAATGTAAATAATAATATAACAGATGGGGATAATAAATAAGGTAACAAAAGCAATAGTTAGTAATAAAATGATAAACAGGAAGAATCAGCTATAGGGTTGGATTCATTTCAGTTAAAACATCAAATATATAATATTGAGAAATGGCACTTTTTATGAACAAAATATAAGAAAAATCTTGTCGTACTAAATTGTATTATTTAGTAAATCGACATTCAATCTTGCTTTGCTTTTAGCTTCTGTATGAACTCCCCAGAGAAATAATTGATTTTTTTCTGTTCGGTCAAAGTAGTCACCATCTCCTTGTTCATCTAAAAACCATTACAAATATAAATAAAAATATATTTTTAATTGTTAACATATTTGGAAGAAAAACACATTTAATCAGTATTGTTGATTTTCATCGCGGACCAAGATAGTTCTTAGTCTGTGAATTACATATTATAGAAACATTTTTGTAGGAATAAAGGTCATTTTCATACAATATTATTAAGTAATAATATACACGGATTATCATACACTCATATTGTTTTAATATTACATTATTTTACTACACTGTATACGTTTACCAGTGGCGTATTTACAATCTTATTTTGGGAGTTGACATGACAGTGAAATAATTTTATAAATCAGTATAAAATGCTTTAACTACATTTTAATCTTTTTTATATTAACTATTTAGATCTTCAAATATTTTTTTGAGGGGTGGTGGGGTTGAAATCTTCAACACACTCCCTCTTCCATAAATACGCCACTGACATTTACTGGATGATTAACTTATGCTCATTGTGCTGTATAAGATGGTAATGGATATTCTAAAGAATCAACCTGTTTAAAATATAGTGTATATCAGGTGCTTTATTGCCTCTTGTGCCAACATTTGGTTACGAAGCTTTTAAAACAATTTCACATGCCATCAACATTAAGTAGTTTATTGAAATAAAAAGAGTTGTGATCTGCAAGGCTGGGCAAGTTAACTAATTTATTTTAAACTTATTAAGTTAAGTTAATGTAGAAAAATGTAAGTTAAGTTTTAAGTTTAAAGTTACTGTTATGTCGTTATGTTGTATAAAGTTTAAAGTAACTAGCACTTTTTATGCAATATTCTGAATTAAAAAAATAGAATAATTATTTAAATATTGAAATCTAAACTTAAAAATATCAAAATTTAATTCTTGTTTGGAATAATATATTCTAATAAGTTGAGGACTTGAGAGATAAGTACAAATTTAAAATTTATAGAATTAACTTGTGATTAAATATTTTTAAATAATAAATGCAATAAGAAAATTAAATACAAATAGGTAGATCTATAACATATTGGATGAGTATAGAATAAAACATATTTGTATATATTTGTATCTGTATTTCAAAAAATAACATGGAATTCAAAAAATAAATCCTCCAATCAAAATAAGTACAACTGTACAAGAAATCTTAGTATGAATATAATTATGAGGACACCATACGGGCAATTATGGTTGTCTTGTCTTCATCTTACAAACTTGGAACATGGCAAATTTTACATTCACAATAATACATTTTGATTGGCAATTTCTAAAATTAGAGTGAATTTACCGCTTACAAAATTTAAAGGCAAGAATATTATTATCAAGGTGACTAGGTCATCTCAGAGGATTTCATTGATATTATTATTTTTAAGTAAGTTATTATCATATTAAATTTTGCAAGAAATTTACAGTTTAAAAATATTCTTAACTTGTTTTAGAATAATAATATCAATGAAATCCTCCAAGATAATACCCTAGATAATATTCTTGCCTTTAAATTGTATAAGACGTAGATTCATTCTAATCTTAGAATTTACAGTCACAGAGTAAAATTTAATATTGTGAACATAAAATTTGCCATGTTGTACATTTGCGACGTAGACAACAAATGGCCGTGTGGCGTCCTCTTAAGTGACTGCAAATACTACAGGCGGAAGCA